CAATATGCGTTTTTGCTGGCTGTAGCAGCGCTATAGCGCTGCACAGCAAAAACGCATAAAAATTAGTTTTTCTATTACTGCGAATAACTTTGGCGCATTCAAACTTTGGCTGTTGGATTTATAAACAATACTAGGAATGATTTTTTCAAGAGAAGTAGATAGTATATGCACGAGAGTGATACCGCCGAGCATACTTTTTCATGCGTTACATTACATAAGTCGCTTTGTTGGCTTGGATGAGTTTTATTAAGCGCAGCATGCAGTAAATGTGCTCGCAGAGACCTTGATCCACCAAATAGGATTGTTCTGGAGAGGAGAACTCGTTTCTAAAACAGTTGCTTTTTGGTACTTAATACATCTGAGGATTGGAAAATCTGCATCATTGAAACGTATGGTACTTGATGGAAAGGAGCGTTCTTGGCTAGTCGCTGCGCAGTGATCCAGAGGGTTGCTCCTGCTGAAGTCCGGAATTTGGAGCTTTTCTTCAGCAGGCGATTGATTTCGGATTAATCTTTTTACTGATGGGGAAGATGAATGAAATTTGGGAAGAAAAATTATAAACCACAGCGGGTTTGTGAAGGAGGAAGGGGAGGAAAAGTGAGGCTAAGCTCATATGTAGTTTTAATCCATCGATCATCATTAATACGGTTCGTTAAGAAGAGGAACAAGAGAATTTATTAATCTTTTATCGGAGCTACTTCTGTCACAAGTGATCATCAGGATCTCAGTCCATCACGCCTTCTCGGTTGTGTTGAGTGTCCGTTTGCCGTGGAAAACGCCATCACCCATCATCATTACCATCCATCTGCTGTAATCCACATCTTTTTGCCACCTAGTGTAATGATCTTACATTGTAATAAATCTTAGTACTATTAAAATGCCGTCCGTCTGGCGCAGTGGGAAGTAGCTCTGCCGTAATGCAGTAGGTCCAAAGTTCGACTTTGTCGTTAGACGATTCGTCATTCGTTTCGCACTGGCGTACGCCAGAAAGTCAAATTCGCTATCAGCTTGCTTGTAAACACACCTCAAGAGAAGAAGCCATGGACAGATTTGCTAAGGGGTTGTTGATGCTGGTATTTGCTACTACGCGAACTACCTGACGAATGCGTTTGCTTCGCATGGAGAGCGATTACAGAAGGGGCTTTGACTTTTGACTGTACTGACTGTTAAAACATTTAAAACTGTAGATGAGAGCAGGCTTGAATAAGCCATGAGATGTTGTAGTTAACATTTATAAGGTTAAAATTTGCTATTGCATGAACAGCGAAAGTAGCGATGAATTCTGGACCTCTGTAATGAAAAGGAGGCCCAGCCTGACTCACAGTTGCGGTGGGACAGGGGAGATCTGTTTTGCATTAAAATTTCAAAATATCATATTTCATCTACGGTCGTATCCGATTTGGTGGGTTGTGCCTCTCTCCTTCCCTGCCTCTCCTCTGTACAGGGCCTTGGCAGTGGTAACTCGGAATATGCCAGACATCTGACTCAGTCGCGGTTCGTTGCTGACATATGTGCAGATTTTCCTGAAAAAAAATTTTTTTTTCCGGAAAGCTGCTTGAAAGACTAGCATTTACTTTCTGGGCAGGCGTCACGTGCTTGCTGCTTTTTCCAACAATGTGAGCGCTGAACGGGTTTTAAAGTGAAAGCAGCGTGTACGTATACAGTAAATTCAGTATTTATGCTGCCTGTGCTTCATTGCATTGCTTCCATTCCTCCGCCTGGCTCTCTTCTTTCGGTCGGGAAAAGGAAACATCCCGATCTCTTTTACTCGGGCTGTGCCGAGATGATCCGCCTGAAATCACACATTTCCGACTTTTTTGGCGAACTGCTCTGAGAGGATCGGATTTTCAAACAGAAAACCATTTTTCTTGAAAAAAAAAGTCATGTTTAACTTGTTTTTGATCCGCAGTCACATTTTATTTTTCGTGCCGAGCGTTCTGCTTTGAACTGAGTCCAGAATTGTTGA